GGGGGGGGGGGGGGTTCAGCAAGATCTTGTGCAGTTAAAAATATCTCCGGCTTTTTGGTGCAGAAATCCCCTGAGAGCTTCCTCCAGCTGCCGGGGGGGTCTGCGGGGAGCGTGTCCCCGAGGAGCTCTGGAGCCCCAGACCCCACCTGGGGCTCACACCCATTTCGGCAGGGAGTTAAAGCCCAAGTGCCTCCCAAGTGCAGGGATTCCCAAGGAGCCCTCAAACGCCCCGTGCAAGGGGGTGACATCAGATCAAGTCCTCCTTTGGGCCAAGCCACAGCCTTGGTTTGAGCCTGGCCTCAGCCCTGCCCTCCCTGCGCTGCTGACGTCCCCCCCACATCCCCTGGATGATTTTCCATGCGAGAGGTTATGAGATTGGTATCTGCCAATGGCTCTGGGAGATGCTGTCTCTGTTGATTTATCATTTCATTTGTTTAAATAACCCTAAGCACCGAACGGGGTTCCCTAACTCCTCTCGTCATTCCCTTCTCTGGCAGTCATCAATGCCCTGTCCCAGCGCTATTTCCTACAAGCCAGCGATCAGAAGGACCTGCAGGACTGGGTGGAGGCACTGAACCGGGCCAGTAAGATCACGGTAGGCTGCCACACGCTCCCCGGGTGTTGCTGTGTCCTGCCTTGGTGGCTGCTCCGGGCGTCTGGAAGAGCTGAGCTTTCCCTTCCCGCGGGGCTCTCCCTCTCCATCACCTCCCCGGTCCCTCCTGGGATGGTGCGGTGGCTGTCCCTGGAGTGCTGAACTTCCCAGGCTTTCTTCTGGGCTGGTGCCGAGGCTGCAGTGGGGAGGGATGGACACGCAGCTGGTGGCCGCGGTGTCCTCTTGTCCTTCTGGCCTTGGCTCTGCCTCTGGCACATCCCTTGGGTTGCTGTTGAGCGAAGCAGCTGTGATACGGGGCTGTAGCTCCCGAAAGCCCCTCAGTCCCAGGGGAGCATCCCCCGGACGGCCCCCGAGAGCAGGGCTCCTGCCCAGCCACCCTGGGGCTGTGTGTGGTTCTGCCACCGAGCAGAGGGAGAGATGCTCCGTGGGGGGACACACACGTGCTGGTGATGCTGCCTTTTGGTGTGTGGGGCTGGGTGTCCCCCCCTGTCCCTTTGCAAGAGCTGTGCCAAGACCCATCTCGAGGCTCCGGCTTCAGGCGGGAGATGTTCCCTCCACCATCTCCAGGGATGCCCATGGTTGGGATTTACTTGCTGCTGTTTGCTCCTGTGTCTTTGCCCCCCCTCCCTGCCCAGCTCTGTGGGGGGACGGTGGCTGCACCCCAGGGAAGGTCCTAAGGGATCTGTCCCCATCCTCACCCGCTCTGGGGCCGTTTCCCTCCTGTCGGCTGGGATACCCGTAACCGACTCCTCGCTGTGGCTGTCCAAGGGCATCTTTCTTGTGCTTTGATAATTTATTTACTCATTTGTTATTCTCTCTGGAACACTGGGTCCTGTGAGGAGGCACAGCGCCGCACTGTAGGGCATCGGGGGGCGGGTCGTGCCTGGATTCAAAGGGGTTTGTCTGCCATCGCCTCCCGTCTCCTGTGGTGCTCGTGCAGCCGTGAACGGATGGTCACTGACCCAGCAACTCCCCGAGTCTCTGCTCCTCGGCTGCTCCTGGCGCTGGGGGACGATGAGGGAGGATGAGGGATGATGAGGGACGATGTTCCCTCTGCGGCGCGGTGGCTGCGGGCACCCTTTGGTGCTCGGTCGGCAGCGCCCGTGTGCCAGGGTTCGGTGTTTGAGGGGCGGCTGCTTCCCGTTCTTGGGATTTGGGGGGATCCCTGCGGAAGGGCAGGGGGCTCCTCAGGCTGCCGTGTGCCCGCAGAGAGCGGCGCTGGCGATGTCTGGCGCTGGCAGGGTCTGACTGGCTCACGCACTGATGCGTGGTGTTCATGGGCTGTGAGCTAAATACATGGAAAAATCATGAGGAACCGTTTAGGACTGGGTCCTAGCAGATAACCTTTTTTCCTTGAATTTTTCATTTAAAATCACTGGAGAGCTGTGTTGTCTCTGTGGGAAACTCATCTACAAGGCCAGACCTGCCCTCTATTTTCTTTTTATGTCTGCAGATACATTAAATGTGACAAGCTCTGTGCCTGAAGCCACCAAAGTGACTGCACAGGCTCTGGCTTGCACCCTCTCTTTTGTGGGTTCAGGTGATGTTGGCCACAAAAAGACCACCTCCAAAACCAGGCAGGAGTTATAACCAGAGCCCACCAGTGACACCAGTATAGCTGTACCACTGGGGTGATGGTGCTGCTGGTCTGCCAAGCTGGCTAAGGTGGTGGGAGGAAGAGATGCATCTTCTGTTTCTGCAATAAACGGCGGTGATTTTCCTGCCCTGCTGTTGGGCAGCCCTGCCCAGCTCCAGCGCTGCCCCCGCCACCGACCGGCTCATCCAGCCCTGCAGGGAGTTCCCGTGGGCTGGCTGGGAAACACGGGGCCACCGGGCTGTGGGCACCGTGGCCGCTCTGCCCCACGTGGGAAATCCCTCTGCCCACCCTGCAGCTCCCGCGGGGCTCCGTCTGTGCCCGGATTTCCTTGGGATGCTCCAGGTTGTAGTGGATCCATGGCTCTGCCGTGGGTGGGGAGGCACAGAAGGCCCAGGGGGAGATGTTCTGGCTTTTGGTGGGGTTCGGACTCTTACCAGCCTCTGGCCTTTGAGTGGTCTCCCCCCTGCCCTGGGCTCTGCCGGGACCACTGGCCGCGGTGGGACGGGGAGGTGGGGGCAGCGTTTTGGGTGCTGCTCTGGGTGCAGGGATCCAGGTTCAGCTTCCGCTTCTCACGGGGACTTCTCCCCGGCTCTTGGCACATCAGTTCCTGTGTTTCCTCACCCCACTCGCTGTCTGGGCAGCCGGGGCCTGGGTGGCTCGGGGCAGGAGGTGTGCAGCAAGCCGGTGTCACCGTGACAAGGGACCCTGCTGCCCGGGTGCTGAGCAGCACCTTCCCCTTGCGCTGCTGCCCGCAGAGAGATGCAGCTCCTGCCCTCTGCCCACACACGCCACGTCTCTGCATCTGCCTTGTGAAACCATTTCCTCCGCTCGGGTGGCACGTGCTGGCTCCCCGGCCTCGCCTCGTGCTTGCCCCCATTGCCGGGGCAGGCAGCCGGTGCCCACCGGTGCCCATGGGTGCTGATGCTCCACACGGGGCCGAGTGGTGCAGGCACAGGGGGACCCTGCCATGGTCTGGCCACTCGCTCTCGTGCCATCTCTCCCAAGCAGGAAGGGATGGCACCTGGACGTGCCGCTGCTGCCGGCCCCTTGCCCAGCACTGCCAACCCCATCCGCCGAGCCTGGCTGTTGGAGAGCACACGGGCAGGGTGGCCGTGGGGCGACTGGGGTCTCGTCCTTGGCCCTCCCTCCTCTCCTGTGCGTGGGTCTGTGAGGTCTTAGCACAGATTTCTGCCCCCCAAGACTTCAGCCAGGTCTCAGCTCAGACACGAGCCCAGCCGAGAGCTCTGGTAGCCCAGCCAGCAGCCAACATGTGGTGGGGTTTGCACAGAGAGGACCCTGTGTCACTCCCTGTGTGCTTCAGGGGGGAAGGCAGGAGGGGAGGTTGGAGCCAGGGACCCCGACTAATGGCATTAGAGAAGTAGAAGTGCAGACTTGGGAGGAAAAACATGGAAACCTGCCTTTCTGTGCAGAGCTGGGAGGGAAGGAGTGAGGGAGGATGCGGGCGCTGGGAGCTGGGTCCCCCCAGTGCAGCCTCTGCCCTGGGACGGGGGGCTGCTCGCAGGGGACACACAACCTGCCCTGCCCCGTGCTGGTGGGGCACACACAGGGTTTGGGGTGTGAAACAGTGCCTGTCTGTCTGCAGTGCCCCTGCGGACGTGCTGCCGCTCAGCCTCGTTAGGCAGGGCAAAGCTCATCATTAAGCCCAGCTGTAAGTGGAGCGGGGACAATTAAAGCAGCGAGTGTCCCACAAAGGCACTGGGCTGCAGAGGCGAGTCCCTGGCTCCCTGTGAGTTGATGCTTAATTATTCACCACCTCCCATCTCCTTCCCAGGCCTCCTGCAACCCGCCTGGGTGGGGCTCGCACCCGCCTTAATTGGGGTGGCTCGTTCATTTATTAGTTTTTAAAGGGCCATTGCTGCATTCAGGCTGGAAGGACGGAGGTTGTGGTGCCCAGCAGAGGTGTGGGGTTGCCCGCCATGGTCATGCCTGTGCCCTTCACCTCTTTCTTTCTCCCGTAGGTGCCAAAGGGTGGCAGCGTCCCGCCGGCCACCGAGATCGCCAAGCTGCCCGTGGTGCCCCAGGCCCAGGAGAGGAAGCCCCAGGTGGCTTATAAAACCGAGATCATCGGGGGGGTGGTGGTCCACACGCCCATCTCCATCAACCAGGTGAGCTGGCAGGGTCTGTGCACCATCCCACATCCTGGGGGTCAGCCCCCCCCACTTTGCTGTGTCTCTGTTCCTGTGTTTTAAGAGCAGCTCCTGATGGGGATAAGCAGAAAAGGTGGCAGCTCTCTCCACGTGTAGCTGGGTGAGGGCATTCCCACCACAGAGCTTTGATGTTCCTGCACTGCTGCTGAGGGCACTTTGGAGCTCGGGCCGGGCTCTGAGGGGTCCCTGCCCCCTGGGTTTGGTGTCTGGCTCCTGCTCTGTCCCTGTGCTGCCCTCCAAGGGGAGCGGGGCAAGAGTGGCTGGGTCTGCAGAGTACTTGCTGCAAAGGATGCTCAGGTTCCTGCTTTAGGGAAGGAGAGTGCAGGGAAGGCGAGTGTCGAGGCGTTATTGCTTTGGCATCCTGCTGTGCCCTGAGCTGCAAAATGCAGGGAGAAATACCATTAATAAACAGCAGTGACGGGCTCTGTCCTTCTCTAACCCACGTGTTGGAGCAGCAGAGCTTGGGGACTTGGTTTCCGCAGCCCAGTACTGGCCTGGGTGTGGGGTCCGGGAGTCTGGGGGAGCCCTGGGGGTCTCGGGGAGGCCCAGCCGTGGGGCTGGAGGCAGTTGCTGGCTGTTGGGGAGGCTGGTTTGCACTTTCATTTCTGGAAACCAGCTCGGTGCCTGCAAACCTTTCCCGCTGGGGTGTATAAATAGCTGCACTGAGCGCCCCGCGGCACCGCTGGGTCTCGATCTGAGCTGATGAGACATGGGGTGTGAGGAGGAGGAGGGTATGACTCTGCTCGCCTTCGCGGCCATCCCACACCATCCACCCACCCATCCTGGGTCGAAATCCCCCCTCGAGGGGGACAGAGGGACCCCCACTGAAGTAGCCAAAGGGCCTGTGCCATCCCGGGGTCGGTGGCCGTGGCTCTGCAGCCCCTGCCCTCGGCGCGTGGCCGTCGGTGTCTGCCACCTTCGGGCACTCGGCTGGCTCCGGGTCTCACTTCGGCTCTTATCAGCCACAGCACTAAAAATAGAGCGGAGAATTAGATCATTGCGGCGGTTTTTTGCTGGCAGGCGCTTTTAACGCTTCCCTGGCCGAGGGGAGGTTTGTCGGGGTGCAGAGGTGTGTGGGATGTGGAGCCACGCGGGGTCGGGCTGGTGGCCATCCCTTCCCGGTGCCACTGCCCCCTGGGACACTGCTGGACCCTCGGCCCCGCGCAAACGAGCGGCAGCAGCCGGTGCTGGGACTTTCCCTTTTTGTTTCAGTGAGTTGAAGCTGCTCTTCCCTCCTGGCCCTTGAGCGGGGCTCCCTCTGCTCCCCACCACCCTCCCGGGAGCCCCGTCCTCAGCCCTCGCCCAACTTCTCTCTTTCACAGAGGGGTTGGTTTTTTGGTGTTGTTTTTTTTTTTAAAGGTGGTGCATCAGCTGCCGGAATGTTTTCCGTTCCCTTGCTCTGTGCCCCGTGTGAAATGGCTATTTCTCTGCTGCAGCTTCCTGGGCGCGTCTGTGGTTTCCTGGCTCTGCCCCGGCCGGTGCTGCCCCGCGGGGGCTGCGGGACCACAGATGGGAGCCCCACGCTCCCCCTGCAGCCCCAGCCCGGCCGGCATCACCCCAGCGCCGGCTGTAACGCTCCCTATTGCAGCAGCATCCCCATCCCGGGGTTTGGACACATCTGTCCGTCCATAACACCCAGCAGAGCCGGGGCGAGGGGAGCGGGCGGCTGCGGAGGTGCTGGGTGGCAGTTTGGGGACAGCCAAATGGCCACTTGTCTCTGTCCTTGGAGAAGCCAAAGCCGCCTCTCGAAGGTGCTGGGAGGCGCAGGTCGCTGGTTAACCGCACCGGCACTCGCAGTGCCGCGGGGGCCATATAAGGCTGGCGGCGGCGAGAGCCACCCCGGCTGCCATGGCAATTCTCAAACCTCAGCGCGGAGCGGGAGGAAGGGGTTGGAGGGACGGGGGAAGGAGGAGATGAGCACAGATGTTTCACCTCAGCCACCCTCCGCGCTGCCGAGGGGGAAGGGAGGGCACTGCCGGGCAACGGGGTGGCTCCGGGGGGCAGAGGGGTGATCCCTGTGGGGTCCGGCCCTCGGGATGCGCTGGGAAGGGCTCGGGGTGAGCCAGGGGCTGGGAGCCCATCAGGGCTCAGAGCAGTGAGTGTTGCACCTGGGGAGACACAGCTTGGGGCCAGCAGGATTTTTCTACCTGAGCTCCAAAGATCACTGTCTCTTTTTGGGAGAATTTGGCAGAGAGTTTTGGCTTTCCTGAGCATTTTATTCCCACCATACGTATCCCTGTGCAGTTGGAGACCATCCCTCCTGCCTAGCTTGGGTCTGTCTGGCCCCAGCTTCCAGCTGGTGGTTTTTATTCTGCCCCCCTCAGCCCGATGAAGAGCTCCTCGTGCCTTGCATTTCCCCCCCAAGAAGGTCCGTGGTGCAGTTTCACTCCCTCTGGGTGTTTGATAAGGCAGGTCCTTCACCTCCCCAGCTGCAGGGGAGCCCTTGAACTGCTTCTGTGGCTTTTCTGTAGCCTTTCCCATTTCTCAACATTGTTTTTAACGTGTGGGCGCCAAGAGGGCGAGCAGCGCTCAGGCAGCAGTCTGAGAGCTGTGTGCCAGGAGATAAAATCAGCTCTGGGCTCTGGTTTGTGTCCTGGCATTGCAATTAGCCCTGCTCGTGTCCAGGCATCGCAATGAGCCCTCGGCATCCAGCGCTGCGCTGGGGGCTTGCTGGGGGCTGCTTTCCCTCTCCAGCTCCTGTGTCCTGCCTTCCAGCAGGGAATTCCCCTCCCCGTGCTCTCCTGGCTCCCCGGTAACTCTCTGCTCCCGTTGCAGAACGGGGGGGACGGAGGGGAGGGCAGCGACGTGGCTGCCCACCCGCTGCTGCGGCGCTCGCAGAGCTACATCCCCACCTCGGCCGCCAAGCCCCCCGCCGGGCCACCCGTCCTCAAGAGTGGCTACTGCGTGAAGCAGGGGAACGTGGTGAGTCCCGGGGTGCCCCGTGCCGTGGGCGGGTGGCGTTGGGCCAGGTGCTGCCCCGCGGGTCGGGGATGCTCCGGGATGCTCTGGGTGCTGGACCAGAGCGTGGGGAGAGCCCCGGAGCCCAGCACTGAGTGGTTCCCTCCCCTCTTTTCCAGAGGAAGAGCTGGAAGCGCCGGTACTTCGTTCTGGATGAATTTTCCATCAGTTACTACAAGTGTGAGCAGGTGAGCAGCCCCAGCCCGGGTCCAGGGATGCCAGTGGCTCCATGGGAGGCACATCGAGCCCCCGGGGCCAGCCAAAGCCCCTCACCGTCTCCTCTCGCCCCCGCAGGACAAGGAGCCCTTGCGTTCGATTCTCCTGAAGGATGTCTGCAAGACCCACGAGTGCCTGGTCAAGTCTGGGTAATGCTCCAGGTTGTGCCGGGGCCGGAGCAGCCCCCGGGACCCCCGGCTGCTGGTGGGAGCGGGTCCCGAGGGGCTGAAGGGGAGCAGGGCAGGGAGGGAATGCGGCTCCTTCCCTCGGGGGGTGTGGGACAGGCTCCTGCAGCTCTCTTGTCTCCGTAGATTAAGGAGTATGAGGCCCTGCATAGTAAATAGCATCGTGTGACAGAGAACAGCCCAGAGCCACAGACAGGCGTTTTCCCTGCGCTGCACGGCTGGTTACACCGTGTCTGGGAACAGTTCATCGCAGCAAACCCTGATAAAATCAAAGCAACTCGATTTGCAATGAAAAACGAACTGAGAAAACAAACCTCTTTAGCTAAAGTAAAAATAGAATTTACTATTATATCTTTTGTTTGTTTATTCTTAAGAAGTTATAGAAAACTCGCATTTAAAACAAACGGTAAATGAGATGGGGCACAGGTCTGGGGGTGGGGGTTGCCTGCAGGCGGAGTGTGTTTAGCTGAAGGGAATATCTCTTGGGAGCCAGAGTCTTCTCAAAATCCACGTGAGATCCAAGGTTTGCCTTGAGTATGGTTGTCCCCAGCACACTTTAGAGATGAGGGGAATATCTCTTGGGAGCCAGAGTCTTCTCAAAATCCACGTGAGATCCAAGGTTTGCCTTGAGTATGGTTGTCGCCAGCACACTTTAGAGATGAGGGTAAATACGAATATATATATATTTTTTTTCCCCATCCATGATGACTTCTGGGTAGTGACCGTCCCTTTCTTGCTGTTTTAGTGATCTCCTGATGCGGGACAACCTCTTTGAGATCATAACGAGCTCCAGAACCTTCTACATCCAGGTGAGGTGGCCGGGGGGGTATTTCTGTTCTGTGCCCCGAGTTCAGCTCCTGCAAACGGGCTGTTCCTGGCAAAGGCCAGCGGATGAGCCCGGCGGGGGAGGACTCCGGCCAGTTTCACTTCTCCCCCGGGGCTTATTTATAACAGCAGCTGTTTGAGGGAGCAGGAAAAAGCCGAGAGAGAAGCACAGGGTGATCCCATGAGCATCCCGAGTGGGGGGGCTGTGCAGGGGGCAGGGTTGGTAACACCCCACCAGCTTTTTTCCCTTAAATGCTTTATTCCTGCTATCAAAGTGCCACAATGTGGAGAGTGGCTCCCCTTCTGCAGGGGGAGGTGGGGCGGTGCAGGGATTTTGAAGTGAGGATGAATTAGTAGCAGATACACCGGGGATGGTGGCAGCCTGTCCATCCCGGGGGGGGATGAAGCCTGGCTGTGCCGGGGGGGGCTTGGGGAAGGTGAATTCTGAGTTGGGGCGGTGTGTTTTGCAGGCAGACAGCCCTGAGGACATGCACAGCTGGATCCGAGCCATCACAGGGGCAGTCCAGGCCCTGAAAACCCGCCCAAGGGTAGGTCACCTCCTTTCTGCTTCGTGTTTAGTGACAAATGAAGATCGTGCCAAGGCACAAGACATTTATTTGGTGGCTTGTGTGAGCGCTGGGTTCCAGGGTGAGATCCCTGCCCTCTCTGGGTTGGTTTGCCAGTCCCTGGAAAAGTTTCCTTGAAAAAAATTGAAAATTGAGATTCAGACATTGAACTGGAGCTGTGTGAATCCTCCCCAGCTCCAAGGCACGAGGAAGAGCCTGACGGGGGGCAAAGGGCCATTAATTCACACTTTCACTTCTTAGGGGTTTCATCCCTTTCTGCAGAGCGTGTAAAGCGCCTGGTGCTGGTCCCCAGGGTTGGCAGATTGCTGACAGCAGTTGCACCACAAACCCTGACCCCATCCAGCGCTCACGCTGCCCCTCTCCTTGCAGGAAATCTCCTTCATGAGATCCTCCTCCCTGGTGAGGCCGGGGGGCTCGGCGGCCCCCTCCCAGCAGAGGCACGGGGAGGAGAGGCGAGCGCTCTGCAAAGCCCCCTCCAGCTCCTCCTGGCAGCCCTGGACGCCGGTGCCAGCGGCGGGGGGCAAGCAGCCGGTGCCGGAGGAGATGCCCGCGCCGCTGAGGGACTCGCTCTTCCTGCCGGCTTTCCCGGAGCGCGACGCTGGAGCCGCCCCGGGCAAGCGCCTGCGGCACAAGTCAGAGCCGCAGCATCTCAAGGAGAAGCCCTTCGTCTTCGACCTGGACGATGAAAGCATCCGGACCTCCGACGTCTGACCGGCCGCCGAGCCACCCCCCCGAGTTCTGCACGTCACCTCCCCGGCCGCCGGAGTCCCCATGGGGTCTGGGGTACCCACGGGACAGTTTGGGGGGTGCAAATGTGCTGGGACAGGTCTCCCCGCCTCCGCTCAGCGCCTCGGACCGGGCTCACCCGTTGTCTCGGTGGGGGTGAAGTGCCCCCTTCCCTCCATCGCTGCTCTTCCCTGCGATACAGGCTCTGGTGGGAGCCGTGTCCCGGTGCCTGCTCCTGCCTGTGCTTTGCCCTGGCAGCTCCGTGTCCCCAAAGCCACCCCCGGGCAGGGTGACCTGTGGGCACCTCGTGCTGCCGTCGCACTGGTCCCCGCCACAGCCTGGGCGAGGGGCATCCTCTGCTGCAACCTCATCATTTCCCCCCCAGACCAAGCCTGGGGGAAGCAGCCGGAGGTCTCAGGGGTGAGAAGGGGAATGTGGCCTTTCTTTTAGTTGGGAAAAACATTTTTCTCCCCTTCCGTGCTGCTCAGCCTTCCCCGGGCAGAGCTGGGGAGGTGCCAGCCTGCGCAGGGACGCGCTGCAACTTCTGTTTGGATGACTTTTCTTTTCCCAGGAGACCAGTTCTTTACACTGCCTGACTAATGGCCTACCAACAGATCTATTGGCTTTTAATTATGTCTTTTCATACCCGTGGGCACTGTTAGACCCCGGCGCTGGCAGGTCCCTGCTCAGCCCCTCCAAAAGGCTCACCGGTACGTCCCGCGCGGGAGCCAGGGCCGGTGTGACGGCGGCTCCCGGGGACAGGAGCATCCTCAGGTACGGTGTGGGCTCTGCACTGGGTACATCTGGGCACCAGGACGCCGTGCCCGTGTGGTGAAGTGCTTTTAGCAAAAAGCAGCAAAAATAAAAAACAAAAAGAAGCCAGGAAGACTTGTCCAGCCAACTCGCCTTGAGATGAAAACAAGCAGAAGTTTTTGGAGCAGTGGGGATTCATCATTTCCATACCCAAATCAGCCCCTGGAGGAGGTGTGATAAACGGCGTGTAGGAAGTTCAGGTGTTCCCTGTGCAGTGAGATTGCCTGATGTCTTCCCCAGTGCCCGTCCCCAGCCGCGGTGCCCGAGCGTGCCCTGTGGCAGGAGCAGTGCCCTGGCTGGGCACGGCAGCAGCGGGGCCGGGGCTACCTGGGGCTTTAAATGCACTTGCCATGGCCCGGCTGGAGGCCGTGTCCCGGGTCAGACTCGGGCACACTCGTTCCCATCTCGGCTCTGCTCCAGCTGATAAATCCAGGCGACGGGTGCAGGAATTCCACTGCAAGCTTAGCAGCGCCTGGAGCGGCCGAGTTAATGAGGCTTCCCTCTATTATGGACTCTGTTTGCTGACTTTTGTTCTCTTCTTTTTTTTTTTTTTTTTTTGGCATTACTCATTCTCTGCTCTGCAGGATCAGCTCAGCGTGCTCCCCAGAAGCAAAGAAAATGGGGTCTGTCCCTTTGTGGATCTCCAGCTGTTGGCCAGCTGTGCTCCAGCTGTGCTCCAGCCGGGGGTCCCGCGGGGGTCCCTGGGTTTTGCTCCGAGGTGGGGATCAGCCCCACGGGTCTCAGCAGGGTCAGAACTGCAGCTTCCAGCAGGGATCCCCTCCCGCGGCGGGGGCTGCTCCCCCGGCCACCCCTGCTGGGGCTGGCAGCTGGGGGAGCCTGGGTGCAGCTTTGGGGGGTGATGGGGCCTCCCAGAGTGGGGGTACAGGGGGCTCAGAGGGGGGTGGGGACGCTGGAGAACACTGAAACTGCAAAAAGGAGCAGGAATCAATGCAAACGGTACAGGGTGAGTGTTAATATTTGTTATTTAATTGCAGAAACCTAGATCACGCTCTTCCTTTTTCTTCTCCTCCTTGCTTTATTTGCACTAGTGTTTGAAATACTTTTTTTTTTGTTTGTTTTGTTTTGTTTGTTTGTTTCTTGCTGTTTGGCTCATAAAATGGTGTTTCAGAAGCATTTTAGCAGTTTGGTCAGTCTCTCGGTCAGGGAGTCGCAGCCCTGGGTGATGGTGCTCTCGTTCCTGGAGAACACCAAACGGGGAGGGACGGTGGTCGCTGGGTGCGAGGCTTCGAAACCTCCGCGTGTTCTTCTCGCCTGGTAATTGCAAACTTTCCCGGGGCCTGGGATGGTGAAGCAGAAGCTTGTTGCACAATTAGGGTTAATTATCCAGGAGGAGAAACTACCAGCGGTTCCAGCACTCTTTCGACATTCCTGGTTCTCATTCCCACCCTCCTGGGTCCCTGGGACAGGACGGTGCAAAGCTTTCGACATTCCTGGTTCTCATTCCCACCCTCCTGGGTCCCTGGGACAGGACGGCGCAAAGGGATGGGAGCTGGGAAAGGAGAGTGTTTGGCTTCGAGGCAGGATGGGAGCTGGGAAAGGAGAGTGTTCAGCGCTGAGCCGGGCTCCGGACCCCTCCGTAACGTGGAGGGGGAGGAATTTTCATCCCCGAGGAGCGGGCAGATGCAGGCAGCCCTCGGAGGAGCTTTGCAGCATTGCTCTGAAGCAAATGGGTGTCCCCTCACCTCTGCCTGGGGACCACCGTGTCCCCCAGAGCACTGTGTGTGTGTGCTGGGGGTGTCCCTGCCCCCCCAGGGGTGTGTGCCGGCACGGGGAGCCTCGTGTGGGCAGAGGGGTGTGAGAGGAGGGGGGTCAAGTGCTCTTAGGGCCGGGGGGGCCTGGCGCGGGCGATGCTCTGTGACTCCCATGGTGTCGGTTACCCCCCCTCCCACCTTTCGCCTGTAAATGCTGGAATCCCTTTTTTTTCCCCGTGTTTTTAAATAAAGAAAGAAATCCCAGTCGCTCTCCCAGGCGGTGTATTTTGGGGGATGATTGCTGGGGATGTTGAACACCCTCCCCACTGGGGTGGGGGGACTGGTGGGTGCTCCCCCCACGTGCAAGGGGAGGTTTAGGGACACTGCACGGAACTGGCAGAGTCCTGCCCAGTGTCCCTTGTGCCACACACGTGGCTGGAGCCCCTTGGAGCTGCTGTTCCCCTGGTCCCAGGAATGTGGGAGTTTCCTGAGGAAGCCTCCCCCCACCCCCCTGCCCCCAGACCCGGGCAGAGCTGCCAAATTCCCATTACTTGTGACCTAAATGGGACATAAACCCCATTCCCCGGAGAGGAGGAGCTGTTGCAATAAACCACAAACCCAAACTGGAATAGGCAGAATTCCCGTCTGGATTGAACCCCACCGCAGCTCCGCTGGAGACAGAAGTGACACCGGCAGAAAATGGCCAAAGAAACGGCTGGAGGTGCTGGGGCTGCAGAGCTGTGTGAGGAGAGAGTGTGTTTGCTGTGTCTTATGTCAAATGTGACTGGACTTTTGCATGTTGGGGTTGTGTGTCTGGCTCTGGCTGTGACACTGCAGCTTCCTTTTCCCATTTTTATTCAGCTCGGTGAGTTCTCAGCCTGCATCTGGTGGGGCTTCCTCTTTTGGTGTGAGGCTGCTGACGCTCATCTCGGCGCCACACATACCCCGTGAGGTGGGCTGGGGGTCACCAGAGTGGGGACAGCAGCTCCCCCCCTGCTCCGGCCCCTTCCCTGTTCTCCCACAGCTCCCAGCCCTTCCCAGCTCTGGATGGGAACGAGCCCTCCGTCACTAATGAGACAAAGCTGGTATTTACTGGTTTTGTAAAACACCAATGGTCACCACTGAATGGTTGGAAAGAACGGGGCTATCTGGCAGCAGGGAAAGGGAGCACAATCCGCTGCCCCAGCAGCACGATGGGGCATGGCTCGAAAAGCACGTTATTTACTAGAAAGGATGGGAAAGGAGGAGAAACGGGTAATTTTAAAATAACAGCTGTGCACTTTGGAGGGGTTGCAGTGTCCTACAGGGGATGGGAAGCATGGCAGAGAGAGTCACACCAAGAGGTGTGAGTGAATAGTACCTTTAATTGCTGCACTGTGGCTCTCCCTGCCTGCAAGAGACTGGAAAGTCACCTTCTCCAAAGGGTGGGGGCTCTACTGACTCTAACCCAGCTCCCCCTCCAGCCACTGAACACGGTTTTAAACAAATAACGTAGAGTCAGAGCTCATCACTTTGCCACTGTCGCTATAACTTTGTTGTCAGGTTACTGGACCTTAAGGGTTTGCAAAGTCCAGGCTACTGGTCTGTGCCTCCGCGTGGCTGCGTGTGTCACACACCGACAGGAACCGGAGTCAGCTCCTTCCAGGCTTTATTAAGCTTTGTTTGACCCCCCTGAGTTTGCAGGGTCTGATTTGCCACTTGCAGGGGGGGGAGGTAATCCAGATTATTTTAAACAAGCAAAATATATACTCAACGATTTGGTGTCCAAGGTTTGCACGGAGGAATTAAGGAGGGTAATTGTTCTGCGCGTGAAGTTACAGCTCTGTAATTCCACGTCCGTGCAAGGCAGGAGCATGTCCCCACGAGCGGGACGAGCGGGGGAGTCCGGCCCCGGTCCTGCAGACCCCCCCTCAGTACACGGTGCACCAGTTGCTGCCGTCGCTGGGCATGAGCCCCCCGGTGATGAGGAGAATCAGGTCGACAAACCACCAGATGCCCAGTCCTCCCAGGGTCAGCAGCTTCCCCACCGCCGTCCCGGTGTGGCCCAGGCAGAACCGATCCACCCCGAAGCAGCCCAGGAAGAAGGAGTAGAGCAGAGTGGTTATA